AGGGGGAGGATATTTCAGTGTCCAACTTTTAAATAGAAAAATGGGGAAGATTGGAACTGTAAAAATGCCTAGAACCACTGCGGGGAATCTTAGTAGCTCAATTGGCTAGTTACCTGAATTTTCACCTTGTTGGTGAGAGTTCGATTCTCCACCTTGTAATCCCCTCTCCATTTTCCCTTCCGCTACCCCCTACGTAATAATTTTAAAAAAAAAGGCTAGAGCCACTGCCATTTCCATCAATTTGTCACAATAGAAGTTAGAGAAGCAGCAACCAAACAACAAAGGCATATGCCTCATGAGTACGCGTATCATCAGTCTGAAGACCGAAAAGATAAGAGTAGCAAAAACAATAAATGATCAAATAGAAAAAGAATAGTACAAAGGAAAAACCGTCTACATAGAAGTATGCGGTTTTGAGTCGGAAAACTATGTGCTATGCCATAAATTTATTGTCAGATCAAAAGAAAGAAAGTTCTTCTATTGTGCAGCTGCAACTGGGGGAGCAAACAGAGCTTTCTGCTACAATAATGTAAAGCAATTGAGTCCACTGTCATGCTTTGTTAGAGCGATTTTCGGTCCCACGCTGTTGGGATACTACTAATAGATCAAATAACTCCTCCGACCAATCACTATATATAAATAAGAGAACTCATATTCAGAAAAGCATAAGCTTCTTTTTCTACAACACATATCACTTAAAGCTTGCTTTCAATTTCTTGTAATACTCTTTACTTCTTAAAGTTGAAGAGAAGTCATGGGATTTCGTTTGTTACCAATGACTTCCGGTGCCAAGCAAATCTACAAACTGCAGTCTCTTCTAACAAGGAGTCATACAGATGTTCCGAAAGGACATTTTGTGGTTTATGTAGGTGAGAGAGAGAAGAAAAGGTATATGGTGCCTATAACATACCTCGATCATCCTTCGTTCCAGAACTTGTTACGGAAAGCAGAAGAAGAGTTTGGATTTCATCATCCAATGGGTGGTCTAACAATTCCTTGCAATGAGGATGCCTTTGTTTATGTAACTTATCGATTGAACCAATGAAATGAAGAACCATGAAGTAGCATTATGAGCTTCAGATTAGAGCTAGCTTAGACTTTTTAGTTTTAGTTTTTTTCATCTTACTAGGCAAGAGATGTAAACTTATGTAAAAAGCCTTCAAGCAAAGCACATAAATGAAATCTTTACCATTATCTGTTGTCTTTAGGAAATGGATAGCCAAATTCTATATCTGTGAAATAATGGTATATCATTTTTATTACAACCGTGGTGCCTAGACTTCTTGTGTACACCTCGACTAATCCACTGGGAAATCTGTTATATCCACAAGCACAAGTGTTGGGTAAACCTGTCCCCTAAAAATGGAGCGGATGCGCTCACATTTAGTGTTGTAACTGAATTAGAACTTAAGATCTTCTCTGCTCTCCAGGAAAAGCTACTATTAGAAGTCAGAGGGAGATAATAGATTGATGATATACTTCTTAGAGTAAAAAATGTTCTTCTTGTCACATGCTACACAGGGAAAAGATGGCGAAAAATACAGAATTTAATAGAACAACCAGATCAAGCACCATTTGCTTGAATTACTTGCATAAAGAGTTTTAGTAATCGAAGAAGTAAATGTAAAAAGAAACCACAGTTAATAAAGAATTTCAGTTAGAATAAACCTAGTCGAAAAACCAGCACCCAAGGATATCCTTGTATTAATATTAGCATCAAAGAATTTTAAGATACTTAATATAGGCTTAAAATTGTAATCAAATTAATAGTTTTTGATATATCAGAATCAATGATTGAATATTGGATGCATATAGCAACCTGCATAAAAATAGTGGTTCGGATAATTTATAATGACCTCAGAATCACATGTACCTGTACCTATAGGACATGTGCTTTTGAGAAGAACTGTCAAAAAGGATAAGCGCAAATTGGTAGGACAGATATTTCAGGATGAGCAACAAATTATTCATTGTGACAGCAAGAAATGAACCAATCTTGATTGAATCATTGAGGGCCAAAAAAGAGATATCCCACAGTGCCTGAAATAGAAAACTTTGTGCGAGTGGTGTTGTAAAATAAGCCAAGAGTCACTGCTAGCTTCATCACCAATGTATTCTGAAGCATTATTTTGGTACAAGTGCAGAATGAGGAAGATAGAGCAGTGATTTGCAGTTCTGAAGCTAAATACATAGATAGCCTGCATATAGTTAACAGGCGAATGGAAAGCCAACTCGACAGCAGTGACCTCAAGCCACTTAGAAATGAACTTATTACATTTCAAATGTGGTAACTCAGCTACAATCAAGTTAACAAAAATGAACCTAAAGTGGAATTATTTCTTTTCTTTATTTTGGAAACAATAGATATCATTCTGTACCACCTTTTCCAACTTTTAAGCTCCTTCTCTACCAGGAATTTATTAACCATGCTACTAAGTATACTTGTTAAGTTTGGCAGAAATGTTTGTCCCATATCAGTGGGAAAAGAAGAGTTGGGGGGATTTTCCCCCTATAAAAGAAGGTTTAATGTTTAGGATTTAAACACACCTCTCA